ACTACATGTCGTTCACCCATTTATACAGAGCAGTGTACCTTACTCTAGGAACTAACATTCACACACCGTTGGCCATCGGGAGCAACTCAGGGTTAAGTATCTCGCCCAAGGATACATCGACATGTTGACTGCATGGGCCGGGATCGAACCCACAACCTTCTGGTTGAAAGACGACCGCACTCCCTCGCAGCCATGTTCCTCTTAGTGATGTTGAGTTAAATGTCTGTTCCCATGTATCGTGTCTTAGTATTTCTCCTTGTTTGATGTTGCAAATGGAGCTGCTTTGATGCAAAACAATGTCTGACTTGATCTTACAGTATGTAATCTATTTTACCTGCATCCTTTGGTTACTAAAACCATTGATGAACACACAGTTAGAAATACACTACACTTATACAGTTTTGTACATGTTTAGACTGTAAGTATAAATATGCACATTGACATTGAATGTTATCTCGTCGCACTGTCACTTATTTGTGTATTTTTTACTGCAGTGAGAGTTGCCAAAGAAATGTCGTTGTACTTTGCATGATGACAATAAAGATATTCTACAATAAAGTGTTATCGTATCGTACAGAGAGAACTGATTTTTCTTTTTACTATCTGACTGCCTCCCTTCTACCCTCCCCCTGTAATAGTCTGGCTCTCAGTGGTGTCACCCGCTCTCTCGCTGGGCGTCTAATGGAGGCCTGCCAGCGCCAACCTGCCAATTAGTTTGTGATTACGCATGGAGGCATCTGTTTTCCTGCATCTCTATCTCGTCTTCACTGTGTGTTACTCTCTGTTCTCTAAAATCCCTTCACAACCTGATATTCTAGCCACAGTATCAGGTTCGTAAAGCATGCGTGAAGGCCTGAGAAAACAACATAAGTCAGCATCATGCTATAGAAGCTTTTCAGGAAACAGAAACAGCCGTCTGGATTTTCACATCTCCCTCCCACTCACTCTGTTATTAAAAAGAAAAACAAGCTTTTACTTATTTCATTCATTTCCATTTCCACTTTAACATTCAGTAAATACTGCTCATTTCTTATTTTACTTTTTTTGCTGCTACATTAAAGCTATAATTGTTGAATATAACGAATGTTGGCGAGGCAATGCAAAAGAGACCCTCTTGGAGCGCTAGCCAATAGGAGCGTGAGTGTTCAACAACACACTACAGGGAAGGGAAAACCCGAAAAGCTTAATAAGGCCTCTTCAAACAGTCCTTTGCATTATGCTTATGATGGTAAATGCATGTGTGTATGCAGTGTTTTTGTAACACAGTGTGTCACACACTGTCTGCAGAGTCTTCCTAATTACTAACTCAGAGACAGAACTGGTGACTCATCTAATATCAGCATTTCTAATAACCTTCATTCACTCTCTAATAATGTTGCAAACCTCAAGTGAGTCAGTGTGTCCGTGTGTGTGTGTCCGTGTGTGTGTGTGTGTGTGTGTGTGTGTGTGTGTGGGTGTGTGTGTGTGTGTGTGTGTGTGTGTGTGTGTGTGTGTGTGTGTGTGTGTGTGTGTGGTCTAGCATTAGTATACTTGTGGGGACCTAAATCTGTTTACATAGTCACGTGTGGGGACTGGCTTCCCTTATGGGGACAAATTGGAGGTCCCCATAAGGGGAATCATTAATTTTAGGGTGAAGACTTGGTTAGGGTTAGGATTAGGGTAAGGTTAAGGGTAAGGTTAAGGGTAAGGGTAAGGCATGTGTTGTTTATGGTTAAGGTTAGGATAAGTCTCCAGGAAATGCATGTAAGTCAATGTAATGTCCCCTGAAGTGATGTATACATGGTATGTGTGTGTGTGTGTGTGTGTGTGTGTATGTGTGTGTATGTGTGTATGTGTGTGTGTGTGTGTGTGTGTGTGTGTGTGTGTGTGTGTGTGTGTGTGTGTGTGTGTGTGTGTGTGTGTGTGTGTGTGTGTGTGTGTGTGTTTCAGACAAAGAGAGAGTGAGAGAACATTTTCATTAATTTGCCCTCGCTGTGTCCAGCATGATAATTCAGAGAGGGATCCGTCTGCAGCTCACTCCCTCATGCTGAATATGAATATTACGATGAGACCTTCAAGGCTATATCATCCAGATAGAGCGCGTCTCCTGCCTCAATCACAATCGGTTCATCTTAAATTCAACCCAGGAAACATGCCTTCATTTTAATGCTAAATAATGGTTCAGTAAATCAGCAGCAGGAGAATATAACACATCAATAAATACCGGCTGACACCGAGCTAACAGGAAGGTAAAGTCTGATTACAGCGTCTGTCACCTCCTTTCAGAGAGGGAGATGAGATCAATGCATTAACATGTTTTAATTTAGCTGCTAATAAAGCGGTGCAGGAATGAGTTCAGAAAGAGTCAGCATGTTTGCACTTCCTATCCTCTAGTGTGGAAGTCAAAGGTGTTTCGAATGTGTTTTGGTTGTTAGCCAGAAAAAGGTGTCTTCGGTTAACACAAGCTGAAGAGATTTTTTTTCTACCGACATAAAATACATCAGTAGATACCCCACTGGTTGATTTAAAAACAGAGGGTTGCTAACAAGTGTCTAAAGGAGACGACTAAACGTCATCACGCCCAACGTTAGCCGCCTTTATCTTAGCGGTGGCACGTGAAGTCATGTGACCGTGCTGTAGTTCCTTTATAGCCCAACATTAGCCACCTTTAGCTTAGCGGTGGAGACGTGAAGTCATGTGACCGTGCTGTAGTTCCTTTATAGCCCAACATTAGCCACCTTTAGCTTAGCGGTGGAGACGTGCAGTCATGTGACCGTGCTGTAGTTCCTTTATAGCCCAACATTAGCCACCTTTAGCTTAGCGGTGTGACGTGAAGTCATGTGACCGTGCTGTAGTTCCTTTATAGCCCAACATTAGCCACCTTTAGCTTAGCGGTGGAGACGTGCAGTCATGTGACCGTGCTGTAGTTCCTTTATAGCCCAACATTAGCCACCTTTAGCTTAGCGGTGTGACGTGAAGTCATGTGACCGTGCTGTAGTTCCTTTATAGCCCAACATTAACCACCTTTAGCTTAGCGGTGGAGACGTGCAGTCATGTGACCGTGCTGTAGTTCCTTTATAGCCCAACATTAGCCACCTTTAGCTTAGCGGTGGAGACGTGCAGTCATGTGACCGTGCTGTAGTTCCTTTATAGCCCAACATTAGCCACCTTTAGCTTAGCGGTGTGACGTGAAGTCATGTGACCGTGCTGTAGTTCCTTTATAGCCCAACATTAGCCACCTTTAGCTTAGCGGTGGAGACGTGAAGTCATGTGACCGTGCTGTAGTTCCTTTATAGCCCAACATTAGCCACCTTTAGCTTAGCGGTGGTAACGTGAAGTCATGTGACCGTGCTGTAGTTCCTTTATAGCCAAACATTAGCCACCTTTAGCTTAGCGGTGGTGACGTGAAGTCATGTGACCGTGCTGTAGTTCCGTTATAGCCCAACATTAGCCGCCTTTAGCTTAGCGGTGGTGACGTGAACTCATGTGACCGCGCTGTAGTTCTTTTATAGCCTAACGTTATATTTTTACTCCTGCATTTACGCAATACTTTCATATGGTATGTCTTGGAACAAAACATGGGCTATACATATATGCAAAAAGACAACAGGATTTTACTTCTAAACCTGAGAAGTGGATGATGTGAACATTTCCAGGATTTAAGATTCATTCCTGCACAACTCCATTAGGTTGGGAACCACTGGTCAATACACAGATACATACAAAAATGAAAAGATCCATAGATGTGGTCTTTATCTTCTTTAAGTGATTTCTCTCTCATGCTCTCCTCTCCCCCTCTCTCTGTTCCTCCCTCCAACAGCGAGGGGAGTATGATTATATCGAGCTCGGCTCATCAATAATTGAGCACCCACAATGATGAAGAATTCTCGAGGAACCCTGTCTGCCACCCATTGTACTTCAGCACCGTGATTTGATAAATATTTCATGTTATTGTGTGAGAGGTTAATCTGCTGAAAACATGTTCTCTTTGCACTGATGGTGAGGCGTCTACCTCTCTGCTGTAAAACACCCTTTTAATAAAACACCTTTCCCCACAGACTAGCCTCTCTGGGCCTTTAAAAGCTGTAGTTAATGTGCTGGAAGTGCAGCTGATGGTTAACAAGCTGTAACCGGCTCAATAAGCTTCTAGTGTCAGCAGGCAGTTGGAGCCAAACGCAGAACATTAAAGAGACGCAGGTATAAATAACAAGATGTAATCAAAGTTCAGCTTCAACACAGGGAGCAGGCAGCCAAACTCAATTAGAAACAAACATGGAGGGCACAAGGAAACACAACTGGAGCACAAAGAATAATGCAGGGACAAAGACAGAGCGATCACTTAGTCTGAAACATTTGTATTATCTGTAATGTAACACAAGTACTGTACATAAAATGTTAGCTAAAAAATGACAAACGTTGCGTCTGGTGAGAGAACAGCAGCCGTGTGTGATTTAACACAACATCACGCAGTTGAATTACACACACTGCACAAGTTTACACAGTGCATGTCATGCAGTGGACTAAGGGAAGTATATCCGAGTTGAAACAAAGCAATAGAGATATTACAAAATCAAACAGGAAAAGCAAAAAAACTCAAACCAAGACCAGATTGTAGTAAGCTATTTCAGCTGATCAAAAATGCTGCTCAGAGAGTTACAGGTAGCTGTTAAAGACACACACACACACACACACACACACACACACACACACACACACACACACACACACACACACACACACACACACACACACACACACACACACACACACACCCTGTATATCAGGCTAGTTATAACCGACACAAGGCAGATGTTGATATGAAAGTCAGATCAGTCCCAAGGTTCGGTGTCTCTTTCATGTCCACTTTCATGTGTAACTGCACTATGTACTATTTGATTGACACACACACACACACACACACACACTCACACACACACACACACACACACACACACACACACACACACACACACACACACACACACACACACACACACACACACACACACTGTTGGACTCACCCACTGAGGACCACGATGAAGTCCATGACGTTCCACCCGTTCCTGAGGTAGGAGCCTTTATGAAACGCGAAGCCCAGCGCGATGATCTTGATCCCGGCCTCGAAGCAGAACATCCCGATGAAGTAGGGCTCCGTCTTCTCCTGATGATCGAAACGGAGACCCAGGCATCAGAGGCAGTTTATCTTTTAAAGGTCCCCTATCATGCAAAATGCACTTTCTGATGTCTTTTCTACATCGGTACACCGGTGTCAGGGAACTCACAAAGTCTCTCTTTTCCTCCGTAGCCACATCTCTAAAAACGGGGGAACATCGGAGCTGATCCAGATTTGCTGCGTCATGACGACATTACTAAAAATGTGGCCGGGCTTTACATCCACGGGCCAATCAGAAACGTCGCTGTCAGAAACAATGAGACGTGTGCTAGAAGTAATATGGTCTGTGTTTACATTAGCATGCTAACGCTCAGAGCTAACCTGTACTGGAGAGAGTCTGTGTTCGAGAAAGAGTTTGAGCTCCATCCTGTTTCCTGTTCAGAAATAATCCTTGATGTGGTTTGGAACATGATATGGAGTTTAATCACGGCAGCATTTAGCTGAGAATCTGCTGGGAGAATTCTCCTTTTTTTTTTTTTAAAGCTACAGACCCAGAATCAGCACTTTAGTAACAGGGCTGAAATAGAGGGTGATGAGGCTAGAATGGGTGATCTGTTTGGTGTTTTGAGTGTTATATATCTAAGACCTATAATATCTGCCTAAAAATAGTATAATAGGAGACCTTTAATGTCTGCATTGTTGTGTGCATGTGTTTTTAAATGCATCTCACCAGTCTCTTGGACATGGGGGTCTTGTCCTCTCCGGGAAGATGCTGCTCCAGAGCCAGCACGATGCAGTTAGCGATGATGGTGGTGAGGATCATGTACTCAAACGGAGTGGAGGGACAACGTTAAGGAAAGTGTGGTAAGAGATATTCATTTAAAGGATAAGGCTGGTGATAGTTTGTCACAAATTACACAGAAACATCCTGAACACAGCAAAATGAAATGGATCTGAGCAGATGTCCGGATATGGACACACACTTAGTGGTCATAAGCAAGATTGGAACAGATTGTTGTGTCTTTACAGGGTTTTTCTGGGACATGTTTGTCTTTAAATCTGAGCTGAGACAGATTTGACTCGTCGTTGAGAGATGTTGATCAAACCTTAGCCACAGCAGCATCAACACACTAATCAAACAAGTGGTTCAATTGCATATTGCATACAATGCTTCGGGCTGAGGGGCTGTTTTGAAGTGTTATATATCTTTTAATTATTTTGATTCATCATCACTTGAATCTCAGCTGCGGCCGGTCACCACGCCCTGAATCCCCCAAACACACATAAACAAGAGAGAGGTGAGAGAAAAGGAGACGAGAGACAGAACAAATAACGATAGAAAGAATGAGGAATCCATGGCAACAGGCTTCTCCTCCAAAAGTCAATGCTACAAGACACACACACACACACACACACACACACACACACACACACACACACACACACACACACACACACACACACACTGTATATCAGGCTAGTTATAACCGACACAAGGCAGATGTTGATATGAAAGTCAGATCAGTCCCAAGGTTCGGTGTCTCCATGTCCACGCGTTCTGTTCTCTCTCTGAATGATCACAAAGTAGTTGATGAATCAACGTGTGGCTGCAGCTGGCCTCAAAACAAAGGATGAGTTTGTTGGCTTGGTTTAACTCATGTTTCAAGACGTGTTAATAAACTCTCCATTTATTACACGGCTTAGTTGAATATTTGATATTAAGCATGCCGACATTAATCACACTGTAATCTGAGTTTTTCAATTTGAATTGTAATGTTATGTTTTAACTGTATGTACTATTTGATTGACCTGTACTTTAATCTTGTTTTGTAATTGTTTGAGTGATAGAGATTATGCAATATATTTTAGTGTTTGTTGATTGGAAGGCTGTGGCTCACGGGTTAGTGTGCTGATCTTCGAATCAGGGGGTAGCCAGTTCGAGTCCCACTGCAGTCAGCATGTCGTTCACACCAAATTGCTCCTGTGGGGATTGTCCACATACTGAATGTGTGTAAGTCGCTTTGGATAAAAGCGTCTAACATGTCATGTAATTGTTATGTAGCTAAAATCTGGCATAAATCATCTCTCCTTTTTCTGAGATCAATGTATTTGGATGCATGCTCCTTGTTGAAATAAACACAGACAGTAGCTAAAAAGTGGCTTGGGCGATTCGGACCATGAGTGGTTTTGGAGGTGAATAATTTTCAGGGTAAAGAATTGCAGTTGTAACCAGAAAGTGGCCATATCTGTGGCTGTTTTTGATGAATTTGTGTCGATTTTGAAGTTAGAGGGGACTCAAAACAGAATTTTTTTATTTTAAAAATGTCAGAAATGAATGCAGCATCTTCACTCACCTCCAACGTCGTCCAAATCAGACATTTTGTTTTTACTGTTGTCTGCATAATAGCCCAACATGTGCAGGTTAGCATCCGGCAGTTTCTATGAGCTGGAGACCCTACTCTACATTTCTATCGGAACACTTTGGGATCCTCAACATCTCTAAGTTCACACTGCTGGAAACTAGACTACTGAGCTCAACAAGTGTAACAGAAACCCTCCTCCTCCTCCTCCTCCTCCTCATCGTTCATCTGCTTCGTCTCGTCAGCTGGGAGTCACGGTGACGCTGGAACACGCGTGTAAAAATAGACACGGAGACGGAGCGGGATGCCATGATGTGAATCTGAGAATACTCAGACTGGATCCTCAGTGATTATTATTATCACACAGAGAGAGAACAGTGTATGTGTGTGTGTGTGTGTGTGTGTGTGTGTGGTGTGTGTGTGTGTGTGTGTGTGTGTGTGTGTGTGTGTGTGTGTGTGTGTGTGTGTGTGTGTGTGTGTGTGTGTGTGTGTGTGTGTGTGTGTGTGTGTGTGTAGTATAATCTCCATATAGAGTAATATTAACTGTATGCACTTCTATTTTATGAATATATTTGTGTAACAGTCTTTGTGGTGAACATGTGTGTCTCTGTGGTCATTAAGCATCTGTTTGTGGTCATTTCGGGTCTCTTTGTGTGAATTTGACTATTGTTTTTAATCATTTGACATCTCTTTTTGGTTTTGTCTTTCTCTTTATGGTCATTGTGTGTCTCTATGTGTCACAGTCTGCTCCTTCACTCACCTATGTTCTGCATTAACATTCCTTAGTCACCTGGTAGTCACACCCTGTCTCTCTCTCTCACTCTGTTACACCCATCAGCTCCATTAGTATTTAGGCCCACTTCACTCTCACCTCAGTGCCAGATCGTACTTTGCAGCATGCCAGTCTTTCCCGCGTTATCTTCCAGATTGCTCTCCCGGTTTCGACCCTGCCTGTCCCTGACCAGCCTGCCTCGCCTGCTCCCTGACCCGTTCTGTACCTACGACTCCCGTCCTGCTTTCTCCTGGAACCCTCGCCTGTCCCCGACCAGCCCTTTGCCGACTATCTGCCGTTTTGTCTCCTCCCAGCCTGTTGCCTTCAATAAAGCTGGTTACCGACTATCCCTGGTTTCCCGTGTTCTGCATTTTGGTCCTCAGCTCGTTTGTGACACTATGTGGTCCACCACGCTATGATTTCTGAAGTAAAAAGCTAACGCTTTAAAGGAACTACACCGTCAGAGGAAAAGTTGATCTAACGTTCTTCTGATTGCAGACCAGTGCACACTTAGCATAATGCAAATCCACAATAACTACTTTAGTTTTCTTCAGATGAATTCCCTCTAAGAAATCAGCTCTCATTAAAGAAGTAACACAGCGATCAATGGGCGGAAAATCTGTTAGTCATTTGGTTTTGGGCGGGGCGACCTCTGGGGACAGCGGGGTCATTTCCTCGCTCATTTCCATTTCCATTTTTCATGCAAGGATGCAATTCAGTTAGGAGAGAAATGAATGTTCAATTCTCAAGTTTAAGCTCCACCAAGGATTTACAACTTTAAATGCACCCTTAATTCAATTCAAACCCCTCCGCTGTGTGTGTGTGTGTGTGTGTGTGTGCGTGCGTGCGTGCGTGCGTGCGTGCGTGTGTGTGTGTGTGTGTGTGTGTGTGTGTGTGTGTGTGTGTGTGTTTATATGTCTGGGAAGGAAGGTTGGGTTTGTTTTATTTTGTTTTTTAATTGTATTTCTGTCTGTATTGTTGTTTTAGCATACATATGTATTTTGTATATTTTATAAGTAAATGCTGTTGTCTAATTTCTCTTTTTCTTATGTAGACTACTTTTAGATTATTTGTTTGTGTGTGCAGTAGGTTATACATGCAAAACATGTGATCACAAAAAAAAAAAGTATCACACTTTAAAGACAGCGAGCACACGGTTACTACGCAGCGCGAAACAAGCTATTATAAATCCAACGATGAATTATTGAGAGGTGTATCTTCTCAATGGGAAACTTCCCACAGCGGGGGGGTCTCAGTGGGGATCAGACAGGGGGCGCAGCTGTCAGTCCTCCCCAGGATCGCCTCACTAAACTCGGGCTTAATTAGCTGTGACCTTCCCTGCCGAGCCTCCATCAGGCTGCAGGTACAGGGGGCCGAAAATCAAACGCACCTCTTTCTGCTGAGAGCTTCATGCAGGCGTACTTTAAACATGTATCTACTATTACCTGGAAACATCATCAGTAACTCGGCTTTGGGAGTAATGGATTACATGTAACGGGTAATCAGGATACAAAAAGGGAACTGTATTTCCTTATAGTTACATAAAATAAATCAGATTACTAAAAATGTGGATTAGTTGCAGGATAATAATACGTATTATAATGTATAGTATATTCCTCCACAACACTCCACAAGTCTCAAAGTAAAACGAGTCTCAGAGAAACCAGAGCTCAGCATCATGACTCAGATTCAAAGAATGCTTTCACTCATTTCATTCATTCAGAGAATATGTACTCCAATAAATATCAAACGGAGTGTAATAGGCTCTCTAACGCCCACACACACACACACACACACACACACACACACACACACACACACACACACACACACACACACACACACACACACACACACACACACACCTCTGTGTTCACACTGTTACTCACTCAACGCCTCTGGAAACTTCCTGAATTCATCCTCTGATGTTAATGATCACTCAGAGGCTCTCACAGCGAGGTGAGCGAGACGAGGTGTCCTGCAAACACATGGCCGACCTCTGTCACAAGGCCAGTGTGTGTGTGTGTGTGTGTGTGTGTGTGTGTGTGTGTGTGTGTGTGTGTGTGTGTGTGTGTGTGTGTGCGTGTGTGTGTGTGTGTGTGTGTGTGTGTGATTTTTAGAGGAGGAGAGCCATATGTGTCTTTGAATTTTGAATTTTAAATTAGACAGGTAGATCGGTAGACTGAAAACAGTAGGTAGATAACTGTAGTAGGTTAAAGGAAGCAATAATAGGAAAGTAGGTAGCAAAGGTTTGTAACTAGGGAGGATATTAGACAGGTGGGTAGTTTGCTAGGTAGGTAGGTAGTTTTCTAGGTAGGTAGGTAGGTAGGTAGGTAGGTAGGTAGGTAGGTAGGTAGGTAGGCAGAAGGAAGGAAGGAAGGAAGGAAGGATGGCGAAGGGACGGGTGGCGCAGTGGTCTGTGCGTTTGATCATCAGATCAAGGGGGCGTTGGGGAACTCCAGTTCGAAACCCGCTCCCGCCCCACTGCGTCAGGCCGTTGTGTCCTTGGGCAAGACACTTCACCCGAATTTGCTCCTGTGGGTATTGTCCACAGTAGATGACCATTACATGTATGATCTGTATGTGTAATGTGTATTTGTAAAGCGCTTTGAGAGTCATTGATAAAGCGCTATAATAAATATAAGGATTATTATTATTATTATAAGGAAGGAAGGAAGGAAGGAAGGAAGGAAGGAAGGAAGGAAATGAAGTAGGTAGTAAATGAAACAGGTAGATGTCTTGCTAACTAGCTAGGTTGGTTGCTAGGTAGGAAACTAGACAGCTGGGTAGTTTGTTATTAATAAATGATACAAGTAGGTAAAGACTTTCTTTATACTATTTATTTACAATGTGTTAGTAGCTGGCTCCTTCACACCTTTCATATGCCACCTTTAGTTCTCCATGGATGTCTATTTGCTGTGTATTTTACTAACATGTGTCGCCTCTTTCTTACTTGTGCCTTTTATGTGCACCTTTGCTGTTTTCATTTCCTGACTTTGGGACGGATAAAGGATTTCTGCAGCACGTCCAAACTGCCTCAAACATCTGTAATACGACAACAAACAAACCCTTCTACTGTTCTTTTCCTCAGCTGTTGATTGAAATTCATCCCGTTTCTATTTGTAATCACCTCAACACGTTGGGTAAACCCAGAGAAACCCCACAATGGATGCTCCCGACAATAGAGGCCCCGGTTGTCATGGTGTGCCGTCAGGAAGCTGCTGAATGAACGGGAACAAAAGCAGAGAGGAGGCGTCACCTGGCCGAAAAAACACCTGGTGAGCCGCACAGCGAGGCAGGAAATGATACGAGGAGTTCAAGAGAGAGGGAGAGGGTTTGAGAAAGCAGCCAGAGAACCCCTAATGTCACAGCACTGAAGTAAGTTAATAAAGGTGGAAGGTAAACAAAGGGAAGGAAGGCAACATAACAAAAAACGCCTATTAGGTTTACTGGCCTTCAACTACAAAGTGTCAACAAGGACACATGGCCTCAAAGTGACAAACTCCAGAGAGACACTAATTGACCCAAATAAGACACAATTACAACTAAAACATCGTTCCCACAAAATGAGCAGAAAAGACTCAAAGTGACCAATAAAGAAACGCCAGCTACATAGAGACACTAATGACGACAATGAAACGCTAAATGACAAGAAGGAGTCACAAAATGACCTTTTACAAACTGACCCCAAATCTGTATGTTTTCCTTGTGTATCCTTGTGGTAAATTTGGTTATTTTTCGTGGTCAATTTCTGTACAATGTGTGATCAATGTGTTTCTTAGATATCTTTTTGTCTCTGTGTGGTTACACAGAAGGTAATTTAATGTGTTTTAAGTTCATTGAATGTGTTTAAGGTGATATTACGTGTTTAGAAGGTCTTTTTATGTGTTTTCAAGGTTACTTTGTTGTGATTTTGACTCTTTTTGTAGTGATTATCTTCCTCTTATTGGTAATGTTGTGTTTCTTTGTCATTTTGGGGTCGATTTGTTGTCATTCTGTGTCGACTAAAAGCACAATATTTATGAGATGTGTTGTGTCTTATAGATTTGACAACAATAAGACATAGAAAGACAACAAGGTAACTCAAAATAACCACAAAATCACACAAAAGGACTATAAATCAACTCAAATGTGCCACAATGATAGAAAATCACCACTAAAAGGATCAAAATCTGCCCCGGCCAATCAGAGATGCCCAAATTGTAAAATGATATATGTTCAAATGTCTTGTTTTGTTCCCATCCACAGCACAAAAGTCAAATATATTCCACAACGTCTACAGAGATCAGCAGCAAAACCTCACAATGGAGAAGTCAGAGTCAGATATGTTCGCTTAAAAATTACCAAAACAATTGATCGCATTATCTACCAATAATAGGACTACATTTAGATGCGACGACCACCTGTTGCAGCTGCCGGTGGGCTCGATATATCCACAGATCAGAGTGTGTGTTCAGAGCCTCTTGTTGACAGAAAGGATTGCCATAAACACAGAAACTCCTCTCACACACTTTCCTCTCACACACTCTCCTGCTTTGTGTCTGGAAATAGATACACAAGTCTAAATGATGTTTGATCCTCGAAATTCATCCACTATTGTTCCATAACATCGTGAACGCCACTGATGCACCTGAAGAGTCAGATTCAGAGCTCGTTTTCACAGGATTGTGTTATTAAAGAAAACCAAAGAGGAAATGTATCACTCAAACAACTCCTGTGTGTGCGCGCGTACGTGCGTGTGTGTGCGTGCGTGTGTTTGTTTCTCATGTACTACCCTGTGTGTGCTGTCCATGGTGCTGAAACTCCCAATAGACTTTCAATTGCACATAAGAGCCTATAATATCATATTATATATAAATATATAATAACATAGAATATAATATAATTTAGTGAAATATAAAATAATATAATTAAATATTATATAGTAAAATATTATATCAAATAATATAATAAATTGTAATATATTCAAATAATTTTTTGGGGAAAAATAACAAAATAATATAATAAAATAATGTATAATATATTATAACATATGATATCAAATGAAAAAATATAATAAAACATCATATAAATGAATATAATAATATAGCATAATAGTATGTAAAATAATGTATAAGATAAAAAAAACACATATTTTTAAAATGAAAAATAATATAACTAAAATAAGAATATTAAAATATAATTTAATATAGTATAATAAAATAAAATAAAATAATGGATAATATTTAATATCATAATTTGAAAATAAATCAAATGATATAATAGAATAAAAATATGATATAATAATTTTTCTGTGTGTAATTTCAACATTCAATTGTGTTTATGTGTTACTGTACACTGGGACACTTTTACCCACCTCTCTGTGACCCTCTCCCCAGGTCTTCATAAGAACCCCTTCCCTCACACCAGAGGAATAAAAGGATATGGCCACTCGATGATTTTCTTGGCGTACTTCCGCACCAAGTTGTCCTCTCCGAAGATGAAGAGCGACCTGTTGACGGTGAAGCAGTTCTCGCGCACCGGGATTGGGTTGTACAGTGCCATGGTGCGCGCACGCTGCGCTTTGGTCTGTTTAAAAGCGGGAGAGATGCCCCCTGTGGAGAGACCCCCTCCATCCCGGATCCGGTGCAGCTCGGAGCCTCCATCCCCGGAGCTCAGCAAGCCCGGGACCTCGTCTCCAAACCGGGCCATTCTGGAGGAAAAGAGGAGGAGGGGAAGGGGAGGAGAAAAAAAGGAGGTTATAGACTCCTGGAAAGCAGCAGGGCGCGGTGCTGAGATCAGTTTTAGTCCATCCTCGGCGTTATTACGCAGGAAAACACCGATTGAAATGTCCCGTAACTTCCATATAGGTCTAGGTTCAAAACAAACACGGACTGAGCTCCGATCGTGTCCAATTAGAGACGATTTCAAAACAAATGACACAAACAGCGACGAGATCAGTTTTAGTCCATCCTGAGGTTTATTACGCACGAAAACAGTGAATGAAATGTTCCTCAACTTCTAAATGTGTTCAAAACAATCGCTGTGTGTTTTCCTTTTGTGTCACATTAGAGACGATTTCAAAATAAAAGAAACAAATCCATGAAAAAGTGATTAAATCCCGTATTATTTAACAATCCGAAGCGCGTGTTATCCATCCACTGATCTGAGAGAGAGAAGCTGCAACAGGTCACGTCTTCAGCCATCCTCAGTGCAGGAGATCCATGGAGGATTAAAGTATCCTCTTCTCTTATCGCTTCAGAAACACGGGAACCTGCAGCGTGCGTAAGAGGACCGGAACAAAAAAAACACACTTTGGCATTTTCCACGATATTCTTTCCCAGAAACGAACAAATCAAGCTGTCAATGCGAGTCACACCGAGGGAGAGAACATCCTCACCCCGAGTCTGCAGAGGGAAAAGTGAGGAGAGAGCACCCTCCCATCCTCCTCCATTCACTGTAGAGACTCCTAATGGGCACCAGGCTATGGGAGTAATGGATTACATTTAACCGGATTTCGTTATGAGGATACAAACAACTGTATTCCCTTACATAAGAAGGACAGATTACTGTGACATTTCAACAACGAAAAAGGGCAATACAGGATTACAATACATTTTTAAATTGTAAATTAAACTGTGTACTGTTTTCACTAAAAAAAATCGTAAAATGGTGGATTGATTAAAGTAAAACTATATACTAACTAATATAGTGTCTGTTGTAAAAGAATCAGACATTATTTCACTTCACCAACACCAAGCTAAAGGAGGCTAATGTTGGGCTATAGAGGAACTACAGCACGGTCACATGACTTCACGTCACCACCGCTAAGCTAAAGGTGGCTAATGTTGGGCTATAAAGGAACTACAGCACGGTCACATGACTTCACGTCACCACCGCTAAGCTAAAGGTGGCTAATGTTGGGCTATAAAGGAACTACAGAACGGTCACATGACTTCACGTCACCACCGCTAAGCTAAAGGCTGCTAATGTTGGGCTATAGAGGAACTACAGCACGGTCACATGACTTCACGTCACCAACGCTAAGCTAAAGGAGGCTAATGTTGGGCTATAAAGGAACTACAGCACGGTCACATGACTTCACGTCACCACCGCTAAGCTAAAGGTGGCTAATGTTGGGCTATAAAGGAACTACAGCACGGTCACATGACTTCACGTCACCACTGCTAAGCTAAAGGAGGCTAATGTTGGGCTATAAAGGAACTACAGCACGGTCACATGACTTCACGTCACCACTGCTAAGCTAAAGGCTGCTAATGTTGGGCTATAAAGGAACTACAGCACGGTCACATGACTTCATGTCACCACCGCTAAGCTAAAGGTGGCTAATGTTGGGCTATAAAGGAATTACAGCACGGTCACATGACTTCACGTCACCACCGCTAAGCTAAAGGAGGCTAATGTTGGGCTATAAAGGAGCTACAGCACGGTCACATGACTTCACGTCACCACCGCTAAGCTAAAGGTGGCTAATGTTGGGCGTGATGACGTTGAATCGTCTCATTTTGACACTTGTTAGCAACCTCTATATGTAAATTCACATGTTGTAGATCAAAACGTGTAAATCTCTTCAGCTTGTGTTAACCACAGACCTTATTTCAGGATAACAACCAAAAACACATTGAGGAGAGAGTTACATCTGATACTGATGGGTGTTTGGTGGCAGGGTGTGACGGAGGCAGTGATCAATGGTGTGTGACCTCCAACTCATTAGTGCTCCAACACATTATGAGCACATTAAAAATAGAGCACATAACAGACAGATTCATGACGTCTCCTCATTATAAATCTTGCAAAGAGACGCACTCATTTTCCTCTAACTGTCTCTTACAGTTAGGAGGCTTACACTTGTTTAAAGAGGCCCTATTTTCCTCATGTCCAGTTTCAAATTAGTATGTAGTGTCTCTACTTTAAAGAGTCCTCTCCTGCTGATGTTCAGATGTATATCAGTATGTAGTGTCTCTACTTTAAAGAGTCCTCTCCTGCTCATGTTCAGGTGTATATCAGTATGTAGTGTCTCTACTTTAAAGAGTCCTCTCCTGCTGATGTTCAGGTGTATATCAGTATGTAGTGTCTCTACTTTAAAGAGTCCTCTCCTGCTCATGTTCAGGTGTATATCAGTATGTAGTGTCTCTACTTTAAAGAGTCCTCTCCTGCTGATGTTCAGGTGTGTATCAGTATGTAGAGTCTCTACTTTAAAGAGTCCTCTCCTGCTGATGTTCAGGTGTATATCAGCATGTAGTGTCTCTACTTTAAAGAGTCCTCTCCTGCTGATGTTCAGGTGTATATCAGTATGTAGTGTCTCTACTTTAAAGAGTCCTCTCCTGCTGATGTTCAGGTGTATATCAGTATGTAGTGTCTCTACTTTAAAGAGTCCTCTCCTGCTGATGTTCAGGTGTATATCAGCATGTAGTGTCTCTACTTTAAAGAGTCCTCTCCTGCTGATGTTCAGGTGTATATCAGTATGTAGTGTCTCTACTTTAAAAAGCACTACATACTGATATACATTTTTTAAATCTTGTTTCAATTGTTATATATTCCTGATTTCTCTATGGGAATCAATAAAGGTCGATCTTATCCTCTTGTCTTTTTGATGACGGTTTTATCTAACGTTTTAAAAAGCCATGTTGTATTGTGTTTCTCTTGCTCTGTGTCTCATTGCTATTTCGGTCCCAGTGATGTAGATGTTAGCGCTTCCTGCAGCAGATAGCATCACATTGTGTTTCCTGCAGCAGCAGCTCTGGCTGAGAGGTGAGGGGTGAATTATGGTGATTAGGTGTTAAAACCCGGATGATTAGAGGGGAGCAATGATGGCTCTTTCCTGGAAGAGGCTGCAAGCGAAATGCTGGAGCTCCTCTGTTGCAGAAGAGGAGTGTAGTTTAACTCTAATTAATAAAAGGGGAATTTGAACTACAATTGAAAATGACTTTAATATTCATGCAGAATTTGGACTGTTTATTTCTAGTGTCTTAATTTCTCTAATGTACATTGCCTTGTGTTTTATGCTGCTGAAACGCAAACATTTCCCAAATTGGGATCAATAAAGTATCCATCTATCTATCTATCCATCTATCCATCCATCCATCTATCTATCCATCCATCTATCTATACCTGACGTCCTCATATACATTTACACAAAGGAAAAAACCCCACGTCTCTTTTAATATATATAATATAAAATAGCTTACTTCTCTTTGAATGCACAATTATGCAGTTTTACTAATACTAATGTACCTCATACAAATACATCTACGGTATTATCATTTTAATTCCTTTGTTATCATTTTTATTAATTTTTCTCTTTTGAATTGTTGTCCCCCTTTCTGTTAAATACACATTACTGTAAATAAATATGAATTTTATTTTGAGCAAAGTACATGTATTGACAAACACAAAAATACATTGAAAACAAATTAATAATGAATTTAATGTATATATACTGCCTGAGAAAAACGATAAGATAAGATTAATAAATAAAAGCCTGACTTGAGTAAAAGTAGAAGTACTCAGATCTTGTACTTGAGTAAAAGTAGAAGTACTCAGATCTTGATTAAAAGTAGAAGTACTCAGATCTTGATTAAAAGTAGAAGTACTCAGATCTTGTACTTGAGTAAAAGTAGAAGTACTCAGATCTTGATTAAAAGTAGAAGTACTCAGATCTTGATTAAAAGTAGAAGTACTCAGATCTTGTACTTGGGTAAAAGTAGAAGTATTCAGATATTGTACTTGAGTAAAAGTAGAAGTATTCAGATCTGGTACTTGAGTAAAAGTAGAAGTCCCACCTCCGCCTCCAAACGGCACTTTCTAGCAGAGAGTGAGAGCATGTGAGGAGCAGGGATGCTAGTACTACTTACTTGTGTACGATGTCTCAACGACTCACAAAGTCAGGCTTTCAAAAAGAAAAGAAAGGAGAGAAAGACAAGAGAGAGGGACTAAAGGGCGACAATATGTCACCCAGTTTTTCAAGAGAAAAGGTGGGTGTGGTCCATGAGTGGTGGAAATGTGTCTGTTAGCTAAGCTTAGTCCATTGTAAATAATAATTGTTATGTTGTTTTTTTTACTAAGCTGACATTAAGTATTGATAATATCTTTTCAGAAAATTCAGAGGTTTTTCATTTCACTCCTCTTTTAGCTGACATTTAATAAATGCAGGTACATTTTTAGCAGCTATTCACTTAATCAGTTGTCCCTCCCCCTGGTGCCAGGACCAACAGGTCCATCTCTAGGCTCAGCAGCCCTGTCCCCCCATGGGGCTGAACCTGAACGAGCTTGTCTCCCAACTGAAGGAGGTGAGCAGCATTGGGTTGAATTACATGCCACTTAACATATCTGAAGAGAGACTGGAATACAATATCAAAACAAAAAGCTAACATCTCATTTCAATTGCACATTTCAAACACACTATTTTCCACATATTTAAGTTATATTTATTTGGATTTATGCATTCGTGTTGAGAATGTTCCATTCAAAAATGTTATTATTAAAAAGGCATTTACACCATAAAAGATTACTATTGAGATCTATTGTCAGGAATGCTAGTCTTATGGCCAGAGGGCAGGACCTATAAACACATTTACTACCCAATAGCATTGTGAGGCTGAACGAAAGGATCTTTTGACTACGTAAATGTAGTCTTTTAAAAAAACAAAAACATTTACTGACTTTTTAGGATAGCTTCAAGTAATGTTGTAAAATTATAATCGGGGACCTTACACGGTTAAGGGCTATTGTGTATTGTTATTTACTTTAAGATGTTTATTCTTAACCTATCATTAAATTGAAAAACTCTTATTTAAATGATGTGTGTGTGTCTGTATTCCTGATGATACACTGAGAGAATGAGCTCATAGAGCTGCTGATCGCCATAAGCTAAACAGTCTGTATATTGCATTACATTTGTATAATGTAAGCTTCGTTGATACTTTGCCTGCGGGAATACGAAAAAAATAGTTAGATATAAAATAAGATAAGATGAACCTTTATTAATCCCCGAGGGGAAATTCAGTTGTACAAAGCAGCAACAGGGTAAGTGTGAAAAAATAGGACAGCAAAGATTCACACAGATCAATAAAATCAAAAATAAATTAAATCAAGAAAAAATTAAAATGATAATAATAAAAAAAGACTATAAAATAGGAGATGAGTAAAAATAAGAGTAAAATAACTGTAAAATAACTGTCAGCATATGTACATATTTGGTCATCTAAGTTATAGTACGGAATAAGTTAAAGTGACAAGTGTCACATACTGAATATTATTTGATCTATTCCACCACTTAATCCCAAATAATGTAGAGGTGTGTTGTAGGTGCCTTAAATAATCCCTTATTTTCTAGTGAGATGTATTTTTATGTTCATATAATAGTGATTTCAATGCCACCACAA